AAGGGCAATGATATAATCGAAATTCAACATATGATTATTTATCCCTCTTTTAACATTAATCGTTAACTAAGCTATTACTATCCATATGAAGTCCATAAAATTTGTAATAAGTTGTGAGTCAATTAATAAACTGCTAAATTTATAATACTCTATCTGTCTCAATAAGATTCCTATGGGACCAGAAGTAAGTTAGACTAAAACGCGCCCCAACAACATCGACAACAAAAATCTCTGCCGAAGCGGTTTATATATATGCATGCATGCCGTGAAGAAACAGCAAGGACTCGAGTAACCAAGTTATAAATATCTGGTAGTTTATCCCACTTCATAACGAATATAATTAAAATTAAGCAAGCAAGTAGTAGAAAACTTTACCTTAAATTAACCTACTTATAATGCTTGCCTTTTCAATTAACAAAAAATAATGTAATGGCTGTCAAATCGCACAATAAATTAAATTGCAAGAGCAAATCTTTGTGTCTCGATCATAAATATATATATATAAAAAAAAAAAAAAAAAAAATTCTCCCACGAATATAAAGTTGTACTTGAAATTGGATCTACCTTGAGTTACATTTTCTCTATCATAATATTTTATAGAACATAGCACGGCTGCTCCCGCTACTTTGGTGTAAGTTGTATAATTATATTATTAATAATACTCTCTTTGTACCTAAATTATTATGTAACATTAATCAGTATAATGTGAAAATAGTGTAAAAATCGGAAGAGATTATTACTACCTCCGTTAACTATTATTTGTAACAAAGGAGTATTATTTGTGAGATATAAAATATTCCTTTGTCACAAATAATAGTTAACGGAGGTAGTATTATTTTTAGTATAATTATTATTATTATTTTTTTTGGTGTTTAGAGAGCGACAGGGGCGAGGTGAGAACGAATCGATCCCAAGATCTCCTGGAATCGAAAGGAAAGCTCTAACCATTATTATTAAATTATTAATAAAAGAAACAAGAGTATATCTTGTAAGTTTGTTGGGCGATGAAAAATTAAAATACATTCGAATGCTAGTGCAGGTGCTAGACAAAGACAATGTAGCAATCGAGAGATGCTTATCTTCTTTGAGAAAATGCTCTCTAACCGTTTAACAATAATAAATAATAAATAATTTTATAGTATTATAAATTATTGTATTCCATATTTGTTGTTCAGATGTAAAAGTAAACTATTGAAAGGGAAGGATCAAGGAAAGTCCCTTAAAGTTAAGGACTCTCTTTTCTTGTCTATTTGTGTATAATTTAACAATGTTTAAATGACCTTAATTCTAACCAATCCTGCAAAGTTTTAGTACTAATCTAATCTAATTTTATAATTAATTATTACTTTAGCTTTTAGTACTTGTTTTGAGCATTGTAACCTGTTAACATTTTGCTGATTTGTTGAAGTTGTTTATTTTATTTTATCCCACTTTTGCTAATTTTATGGTTTATTATTATTATTGTTAATAAAGATAATGACAAATTATCATGATCCGAAAGTCAAATGGTTTCTACAGTTAATAGTTTAGGTTTCGAACTATATTGTATATATGTGTTTGCCTTGAAATCTAATGTCATGGCCTAGTGGCAAATTGCAAGGGTTTTACGTATGATATTATTGATATTATGATATGTCACAAAGTTAAATCTCTGATCTCCAATTATAAATTGTAACACTATTTTAATTTTGCCTCGTAAGAAAATTGATTTTTGTAAAATTTATATAGTCATACTACATTTCTTGCTACAATGCACGAGACGTGCAAGTGTGCAACATTATATGGCACTCCCGTACGTTGTAGTGCAGCTAAGTCAAAATATGGCAAATTGTGTAGATGTATGCTCATTTTATTCATTAGTTCCATGAGACGTGCAACATTATATGGCACTCCACAGTCCACATTATTTGTATGGTTTCGGTATTATGCATGGGTGTGGATGGATCGATTGTGGTCATGCATTATTCATTTATTCTTATGGAGAAGGAGATATACCTTTGATTTGTAACGTATGTAAATATGTAGTGTAATGTGTATGCTTTGATTTCTATCCTAGAGTTCGAGAATTTACTGAATTAATTCCACACGAGAAGTATGCTTGCCTCGATTTGAAAGTTGGTAATGATTTATTTTAACTTTTTGACAAAAAGCAAGTATTTGTTTGATTATTTCCCAACTTCATTACGAGCAAAAGTACTATCCACGCCTTTCTTCAAGTCAAGATTAAATGTGTTTGGGACAATTATAAGATTAAACAAAATTATTACGAGTAGCTTCTTTTGAGATTCTAGAGCATTTGGGATGAATCAATTATTTGAGTCAATAATTTTTCATAACATGTTTAGTACGAGTAACTTTAAGAAACTATATAGGTACGAAGTTCGTGTGATTGGACATATAAAATTCACAAATAGCATATTTAATTTCTTCCTTTCTAACAAGTCTGTATATAAATCTAAATTTTTTTTAATCAATCTCTTATACAACATGTTTTTCACAACTTACGTAACGACTCAACTAAAATTGTCAACATTTGAAACTATCGGTATATTCTCCAACTAATCACTTATATTTTTACCTCAATTTGAAAGTTAATGACTTTAATTTTTTTGTTTTGAGTACTTTCCAACTTCAATACGAGCAAAAGTACTATCCACACCTTCCTTCAAGTCAATCTTAAATGAGTTCGGGGACAATTGTGATTGATTAATCAAAGTTACCTTCTATTGAGATTATAAAGCATTTGGGATAAATCAATTATTTGAGCCAATAATATTTCATTAAACATAATAACTTTATTAAAAAATACTTATATAATTCCATTTTAAACACTTAAAAACCGCAAGTCTAACAAATCTCTATTTAATTTTTTCAAATCAATCTCTTATTCTCTTATATACTCCGTGATTCTTTACGCCCAACGCAACGACTCAATTAAAATTGTCTGTCCCATAAACAATCGGTACAACAACTAATCACCAATTAGTCACACACTACCACTCATCAATCAAAATTCAAATCGAAACCCAAACCCAATAATCTATGTGTGATGTGGTGTATTTATTAGCAATAAATTAGCCTAAAACAAAAAACAATACTACTAAGAAGATTGATAGATAAAATCGGTGATTGGTATGGAAAAATTGAAAAAGAGGGGGAAACCGAAAAAGGAAAGGACGGTGACCGACTGGTGTCAGTGAAGCAATAGGCCGTTAGAGTGTTGTCCAACTTTACGCAGGTTAAACAGGCTGGACTTACAACTCAGCTAAATCGTTTCCGTTTCCTGGTCCCACGCAAACCCCTCTACTTTTGTCGTTTTGTCCACCTCAGCATAAGATTCTCAACTTCCGTTTTTTTAAAATGACACTTCACTCCCTCCAGTGCCTTACAGCCTGTCTCTCAGTCAAAACCCCAACCCTCCTTGTGTTGGAGTATAATCTTATCTGCTCCTTTTTTTCTCGCACATCTCCTTAACTTCCATAACTACTACGGCTACTAATCAATCAAATTTTTTATTTTGTACGGTTCCAAAATTCTAACATTAATTCTGTTAAATAAGATAAATCGTTAATAATTTTAGATTATTTTTGTAACAAGAATTTTAGATTTTTTTTTTTGAGGAAAGAATTTTAGATCTTGAACGTATATACTTGGACAAAACATTAATTTATTAGAAACAATATATTATTTATTACTGTTTCTCAAAAAAAAAAAAAAAATTTACTTGTATATATACAAACATATGGGATTGAATTAAACAATTTCTATCATGATCAACTAAACACATAGATAGTGTGTTTCATAAAAAAAAAAATTAAAAAAAATGCTTTGACTAGCTAGTTTATTAGACCGTTGAGTTTATTTGTTTAAGAGTACGAGTAAATAATCATTTCACTGGTTCTCAAATACGGAGTAACATCTTTTTATATTTTTGTCTTTGACAGTCCGTTAAATTGTTTCATGCACAAAATAAGTTATCTTCTAGGTGATGATATTGTATGGGTAGTTTGTAATATTAACTACTTCGTGGTTTATGAATAAAATTATGTCTAACCTTAGCCGTGGGTTAGAGTTAATATTCTCGTGAATTACTTTTAGTTGTTAACCGAGTGTCATCTAAAATCATAATATTTAAGTAGGGATGCATTGATTTGTTTTTGTTTTTGTTTTTTTTTTTTTTATAAATGCATTGATTAAAATTAATGCAATGTTAATTAGGTGATTTTTTTAAAAAAAACAATGGAATGGATATTCTAAGCAAATATTAAAAGAATGAAGATTTGATTATTTGTATACCCAAAGCCACATCATATACACATACACCATAGTACCATGGTTTGTTTTTAAAAGTATTTATCTCGTATTTATCCATATACCAAATTTACATATATTTCATAACAAAACTCGCATAGCGTAAATGTACATCTCAAAACCATCAACCTTTTTAAATTAGACCAAAATATTGTCATTTAAATTATATTTATATTCTTTGAATAGTTATACAGATTAAAACTTTCTAAGTCATCATAACCATTTTCAGCAATAATTACAAAGTACGTAATCTTTACATACATTGTGCGTTGTTTTATTATTTTCTGCTTGAATTCAAAGAATTATTTAACATATATCGTAATTTTCATGTAACATAAAAATAGTCATTTAAGATTTTATCACATTCGTAATTTAAAGCAAATAATATAATTAATCAAGCTTTTACATGACAAGATTGGTTCAATTTAATTTATTTTTAAAAAAAAAAAATCATGAATGGCAATATAATGAAATAAATTTGTAACTAAAAAATAAGAAAGTTATTGGAGGCGATATTTTAGTTAGTTAAATCCAGTAAATTTCCAAGCAGTTACGTGGGGACGCGTGGCCCCCACTCCAGCTGTATCCCAATTAACCGCTTACCGGATAATACCCGTAACCTCCTCATCCTCCTCCACATTTTTTACCTCTTCTCCCTTTTCCCCTTCCTTTATATTCTCCCCACTCTCTCTCCCCCCCACTCTCTCTCCAGAGACCACCAAATCTCAGAGGCCTCCACCTCTTCTCCTTCCTCCCTCCCTCCCTCCCTCTTTTCCTCCTCCATTTTCTCTCTCAAAAATTAGGGTTACACTTTCATGGATAACCACCTTCAAACCTCCTCTTCAATGGCGGCGGATCGTATCAAAGGCCCTTGGAGTCCCGAAGAAGACCAGCTCCTACGAAAGCTTGTTGAGAAGCACGGCGCTAGGAATTGGTCTGTTATTAGCAAGTCGATTTCTGGAAGGTCCGGGAAATCTTGTCGTCTCCGGTGGTGTAATCAGCTCTCGCCGGAGGTTGAGCACCGGGCATTTTCCGCGGAGGAGGACGATATAATCGTCCGTGCTCATGCTAAGTTTGGTAATAAGTGGGCCACTATTTCGAGGCTGCTTAACGGTCGCACCGACAACGCTATAAAGAATCACTGGAATAGCACCTTGAAGCGGAAGTTTTCGTCGATCGTCGCCGGAGATGAGGTTTATCGGCCGGAAAAACGGCCGGAGATTTCTCACTCTTCTCCTCCGTTGAGTCCGTCGGAATCTGACGTCAGCGACTCCGGCGTTGGTTTTAGGTCGGCGGTTGCGGAGGAGAAGGAGAAGGTTGAGAATGATCCGTTGACTGCGTTGACTCTTTCGCTTCCTGGAGTGGAAGAGCAACATCAACATCAGCAGCAGCAACAACCGACGAGTCGGATTGAGGCGACGACTCAGGAGGTGAATCAGAAGAACGAATCGGTGAAGGAAACGATGTCGTTTGGACCTGAGTTGATGAATGTGATGCAGGAGATGATAAGGAAGGAGGTGAGGAATTATATGGCGGAGGCTGAGAAGAGTGGGGTGTATTTTGATGGAGATATTGCTCGAAACGCCGTCGTTGAGCGATTTTACAATGGACATTTCCATTGAATTCAAGGACATGAATGAAACAAATAATAGATGATATGATGAAGGAAGAAATTATCTCAAAAAAGAAAAAAAAAAAAACATTCATTTATTTTAAATCTTTTAAAATTTCAGTAGTTTCAAATCACAAATTGTATGTACAGAAATGAGGAGTAGAAAATTCAGTGAATTTAGGTTTTTAAAATGGATATGAAAAGCACATTTTTGGTAGAAATTGGTTTTTGAATTTTATTTAGTTTTTTTTTTTTTTCAAATTATGTTCTTGGCCTTGATAAAATCTAGTTATTGGACTTGTTGCATTACTAGTTCAAATCATACAAGCATTTGCATCATTTTCCGTTGGACGGGAGTTAGATTTCAATTTAGTTATCAAGCCTATTTCATATATGTAGCAAGAATAATCAATCACAAACACTATTAAAATTAGGAGCGAGTTGAATTGAATTTAAATGTATGAGAACAGACCCTTAGTGAAGTGAAGTAGGCCAAATATAAAATTTAAATGTCCGATTTTATCACATTATAAGTTCAAATTATAATCCGTATAATTTTTAGATAGATGGTTGGGAGTTAATTAGTTTGATTATCATGACATTGTATAATATGTTTGTATAAACACTGAGTAATCTAAAAATTAATTAAAAATTTAAATGTGCAAAAATGTCACATGGGTACGGAGGTTGTACGGTTTCCGCTGGTACAATCACTGAGTTTTGATCTTTTTGAAGAATGGGTTGGCCGGTGGGGAAGGAGGGGTATTATGGTCAATTTGATTAGGTGTGATGGGATGTTAATATTAGCTGGACAAACAAATTCTGGTTTGTCTTAATTTCATGGGCTGTAACTGTAACTTTTGTAACTGATTTTTAGGTCCAATGGGCTCTTTATTGTTAGTCCAACCGTTTCTTCTTATAAAGTGTTGACCGTTCTATTCTTGCTCTAATCAACTTGATAAGCTTTGAAAAAATACTCCAAAAACCTAACTTGAAAGGAGGAAGTTGGAAGGTTTTGTTTATTATGCTTGTAGAACATGTCAACTGAATCTAACTTATTTATTTTCAAATTTTGAATATCAACAATTGATAATTTAGTATTTGTGCATTACAATTTCAAATATTGAAAGGTTGTTATTCAAAGCTAGATTATGAACACGTTCGTAAATGAGTAAGGATATCTATCAAAGTATTACGGATCTTTGTTTTGACCAAAGAAATCCATAAATGGATTAGGTAAATAAAAACATTTAGTTTAATGTCACGACTAACATGTGAGTATATAGTGAGATACATGCACAAATAATGTTACAAGTTTATATTTACATTTATTACTTACTCCATAATTTATGTGTTTTTTCATAACCAATTTATTTTGACCGTAAATTTGGAAACTTTAGACTTGTTGACCCATTTTGGGTACTGATAATTTAGACTTGTTAACCAAATAATTATCCTCTTTGTTTTACTGACAAGCACAATGACTTTTTTTTTTTTGGTGTTTAAAAAGCTACAAGGAAAGAAAACTATAACCAATTGAACTATCCCCCACTCTCAACTAAATCTTAAATAACCTTAAATGAACATTTATGCTTGAGCTATTAAAAACTTTAACCTTAAATTTCTATTAGTCAATAGAAAGAGTAGTCGTTAAAGATTTTGTTAGATTAATTAAATTTTTTTAATGATAATGCCATACAAAATCACACGCCAATTAATGTAATTATTGTTTTAAACAAATGAAAACAAGATTTAAACTCACAACCTTAAGTTTGCAAAGTAAAGTTTTAACCATTAAACCATTCAAATATTGAATAGTTGATGTTATTTTTTACTCGGTATGATGTAAAATATTATGGAGTACGCGTAATAACTAAACATTTCAAAATATATCGCCTTGGGTATCGCTCGGGACTAAAAACTAATGAAACAATTAAACAAAGAATTAGACAAAATTTGGTGATAATCAAATCTTCTGGAGTCTTGCTGTATAGTTTTTCGCAAACCCAAAAATTAAAACAAGAGTATCATCATCTACCTATCAATGGAGTACAGAAACAAAAGAGGAGAGAGAAAGTCATCCATGGAAGAAGACGCTTGATGAAGCTTTTCTTCTTCTCTCACCTCCTTTGCGACTAGCCCACTTCAACTGATCCCCACCTTATCACACTCTTTTTTGTACTTCTTAGAGAGAGAAAGTGAACACGCTGAAGAAGAGATCCTCAGATCGAAAGCTCGAAGATGTTGCCGACGACGTCAAAAGGGCGTTTGCCGTCCATTTCTCGGCAACCTAATCCCGTTTTCCCTCATTATCTCCGTCGAATTATCAAGGTAATTTTTTTTCTATTAATCCCTTCTTTTTTTTTGCTGTAATTGTTCAATTGCTTTGTAATTACGCTTGTTGATTCCTCTTTTGGATCTGGGTTTCTCTTCGTTTCATAGTTAATTTCGAATATGCAAATTGATCATTTGTGGGTTGTTTTAATTTTTTATTTATTTTGCTGTTGATCTAATTTTCAGTAATCTATATCGAATATGCTGATTATCTGGGTAATTTAGCTTTTAATTTCTGTAATTAGAAGGCTATGTTTGAATTCTTCTCTTTGGATCTGATGGAATTGGGATAAACTGCCAATTTTAGTAGGAAGTGTATCAGGCAATGCGGTCCATTTGATAGTATATTGTTGATGTTTATGGCAGTATTTGCTATAAAAATACAATATGACATTGTTTTCTTACTTGCACTTTTGAAATGGCGTCACTGCTTGTGTGATGATCCAAAATATTGTATTCACTTTGATATGAGTTGTGTAAACCAATTGCATTATACTGCATCGTCTTTGAGTTGCAAGGATCTGATAGGATTATTACTACTCTTGCTTGCTGGTTCTGGGTCGTAACTTAGTCGCTGTGAGAGGTCTAGTGAGGCTTTGGAGGTGGGACTGGAGTTGAGTTATGTGGATGATTGACGAGTTGATAGTATACATTGTGTTTTGAGTGTGTGGAGAGGATTGGAATCTGGAGTACTTTTCATCTTGGCAAGGACTGTATAATCTTCTAATGATTTTTATTTGAATGCCTTTAAGTTTTGTTTACGGGAAACAGGATGAGACGATCAGCCATCTAGGTGCACATTGATGAACTTTGGGTTGTGGCCTTTCCAAAATTCACGGTGGTTTAATTTGGATTGGAAAGGAGGCTACTGTGAGTATAAAGACTGATGCTTGGTCATCTTGATATAACCCATGGTTTTTAAGTTCACAGATCTGCAACAATAGCTGCTGTATCAGACAATTTTGTCAATTTTTGGAACTAAATTTACCTGAGTTTCAAGGACCCTTTTATGTATTGGTCAATACAAAGCCACAAAGCCAATTTGGGCTGATGCATCAACTGTAACCTTTTATGAACATTGCCTTAAGTATGCTATTGAGATGCAGTATTGTAACCACAGCCGAGAACCCTGTGATAGATATGAAAATTACCTGGGGTGATATTAATGTCATGAAACCAAAAGATAGAAGGGTGGTAATTTTACATGAGTTTGGTACAACATCGTTGTTCCATTGCAGAGCTTTCCAGGGGTGTTTTTTTTTGGAGATCATGATGCTAGTAAATTTGGATGGAGAGCTCTTACATAATTCAACTGTTTACTAACTTATTTGTTAGGTTGATGATTGAATATTTACATATCGAGGTGCTATCATGTCACAAGCTCAATCAGGATCATGACTTTTTGTTTTGAAGGGCTGTAAATGCAAATTCTAGGGATCAGAGGAGACAGGACTAAGGCGGTGCTTGAGGTGAATGTGGCTTACGCTGGTGATATTGATGGTTTATTTCGACTTTTGTTTTACTTAATCGTTTGAAAGACTAATAATTAAGAGAGATTTGCTTCAAGCATTGCACTTGAACCTTAGATGAAGTGTGGAACATTATTTGCTGGTGGAAATTAGTGCAATCATTTAAGAAGTTTTTCGTAGAAATTGATGCAACTATGCAAGGAATCATAGCTGAGCAAAGTGAAAGAATTGAATGTGTTCTTGGAGTAAAAGTTGAATCAGAACACTGCAATGAATAATCTTTTTGTAGCTTTTTCCTAGGATGTGCAAATTATGAGATTCCTCTTTCCTTAACAGCATGCTTTGACTGGCTCTTGCAGATGCGCCGTTTATATCTCTGACCAATACTTTTGCTGATGAGGGGGGGGGGGGGACTGGGTGAGGGGCGAGACTGGTTTTTTTTAGTTTGAGCTAGATTTAGATTTGACTATTAGCAAAATTCATTGGAATTCATATGATTCCTGCTTTCATCATTCTTGAAGAATCAAATCTGATTTATTGAGGTTAGTTCGAGATACTAGGGTGCTGTGTTGTTTGTTGGTTGATCTTTTGGTAGGAGGGAACCTGTGTTCCTCGTCCTCCAAGGAGGAAAGATTGTTGAACATGTCGCTCTACAGTTTTTTTTTTTTTTCATTTTATTTTTATATATACGAATAGAAGGGTTCACTATCATAGTTGTCCAGTATCTTTAATTGATGCACTAAATCACTGCCTTGCTTTATTATTGCTTGATGATGCTTTCCTGACAATAAGTATGGCTCAAATTCCCACATTGGCCATTGTATCTTTGTTGAATTTTACTTATCATAAAATTATGTGGATTTTACTCTGCTGGAATCTTGCTTGCACATATTTCTCTTCTATACGCAGGGGAAGGGAGTTCAGAAAGTATAAGCTCATCGTATGTTTTCTTTACTTTGCTGATTGCTTGCAGTGGCAACAAATGGATGTTGAATACACCTTCTGGCAAATGCTTTATCTGTGTACCTCACCAAAAGTAGTGTAAGTAATTGTTACCGTTTGCCTGAACTCTACTTTTACTATTGGTGGAATCATCTTTTGCATTGATGATGTGGGATTTTTCTGAAATTGTGTAAGGAGAGGAACAGGCCTAGCTTCTTTTTTATTTTATTAATCTAGCATTAACATTTTCACTTCTTATTACAAGGCCTATGATTGTGTAACACTCTAGTAGGTATTTACTTGTAATAAAACTTAGTGAAAGCAATAAAGATTGAATCTTGGGAAAGTTGGCAGCTTTTTGATTAATTGAAATGAGGTAACAAAACAGGGGGTAGCTTTAGGCTACTAATCTCTGGTTTAGCACCTTTAGGGTACCACTCTCTAGGTCTAGGTAATACAATGAACTTGGCTAACTCGCAAATCCTACCCTCCCTTTGTTTATATAGACATCCTGACAAAAGAAAGAACAAGACAAAAGTTGTTGTTGTTGTGGTAGCTGTCAAGAGTCCCTCACTGATTTGGTGGTGACTGTCC